GTGTTTTGTAAGAAGGCTAACAAGCGTAAACTTTTGTCTGCCTGAAGTATCGGGGCCCTCTGCTGCCCCACCTTGACCTTCTGTTGGCCCAGCTTAGACATATGTCGTCCGATCTTGCCTCTGTGTTGGCCCAAACAAAAAGGAAACGCGAAAAACTGGGCCATCTGGAAACCAAATCCCCAAGGTCCACGCAAACCCCATGCCATGGAGGGGAAACATGCTAGGTTGGCCCATTTTGGGTGCCATGTTGGCCCACAGTCGGGGCTGTGTTGGCCACTCTTGGGGCTAGGTTGGCCCATCTTGGAGGCTATGTTGGCCCATCTTGGGGCTATGTTGACCCATCGTGGGGTTATCTTGACCCAGCTTGGGGGCTATGTTGGCCCATCTTGACCCTATGTTGGCCCATCTTGGGCCATGTTGGCCCAACTTGGGCACTTTTTTCGGCGCATGTTGCGCCATGTTGACCCATCTTGAGCCACAAAGCCGGAAAAATGCAAGAAGCAGAAAACACTGTAAAACGCGGGACTGCGCATGGGTCGAGCAGGGGTCGGCGGCAGGGGCGGGACTCCACTCTCTCCTTCGGAGAGGAGAGATGCCTACGGCAATGACACGGCCATGGCGGGGCCCCGTGGGCCCCTGGCCGGATATACGGGAGCGGCCCCTGCCGCCGACCCTCGTCACCAAAACGGGGGGACCACCGGTTCACTGATATCAACGTAATTTACAGTGTTTCGTGTGTGTGAGGTATAAAAAACACTGTGCTTTACAGGGTTTATTGCGCATATCGAAATACGACGCGGGGAAAAGAGAAAAATGCAAAAATGCTGTGCTTTTCAAGGGTGGTGTCGGTAATGTGGGCCGGGCGGACAGGCTTAATCGACATTTTGTGGGTAGAGGCCCTCCAGACGACTTGCATGTCCTAACATATCCTCAACATAGGCCCAAGATAGCCAACATATCCCCAACATATGCCCAACATAGCCTCCAAGATGGCTCAACATAGGGCCAACATAGGCCAACATGGGGCCAACATAGGCCCAACATAGGCCCAACCTCGGCCTAACATAGGCCTAACATAGGCCAACATAGGCTCAACATAGGCTCAACATGGGCCCAAGACGTGCCCAACATAGACCACATGGGCCCAACCTAGGGCCAAGATGCGCACCAAATAGCTTAACTTGTGCCCCAGACCCCGGCCCCCGTCTCCAACGCCGAGCAGTTTCCCACCTTGCCCCCACCCAGGGCCCTGTACGCCCCCGATAGCTGCACGTGCACCCGGCCGGCGCCCGGCTGTTAGGCGTAAGCCTTTAAATTAGACTGGGGGGGTAGAATTAATCCAGGGGTACCCCAAGTACTCTACATATCTGAGCTCAAAGCACTTGCAGAGGTCTCGATTAATTTTCTAGGTCTCAAGGCGCCGCAGTACAGTAACAAATTCCCAATACAGTAAGTGCCGGAATACACACTCACTATAGATTTCCTTCTTCTAAGTATACATCAGGCATTTGACCGGCTGGCTCCTTTTTATGTATTTGTTTCTAGTGTTGTTTCTTGTGTAATGGTCATAGTAGTCACCCGGCAATTGTTGTTTCTTATATTTGTTTTTAGTGTTGTTTCTTATTTGTTTTTAGTAGTCACCCGGGTTAATTTCCCTAAGGCAGGGAACATCTTTAAATCCATGTTTTGTTTCTTCTCATGACTTTATACGTTGTTCTTTTTCTCCCACGGTCTCCTCCCAATCTGAGCGCAGCAAGGTGGGATATGCCATCTTCCGATCTTCCCCGGTCGTCCGGTGTTCCGAAACCAAGGCTTTTTCGCCACACCGCGGCGACCGAACAACGACCGACTCCTCCGGGAGGAGCCGAAAACGGCGGAAGGAAGGCGCGGCGGCGGATTCAAGGGAATGAGGAGTTTACATGTTTCTGTGAAGTCGACCGGACGTGTCACTGTGTCACCCTCTCAGAGAAAAAGAAGAAAGCCAATTATTACAATGATTGTATCTATATTTATATTTTAATCATTGTCAATCAATATATTATTTATATATACTAATTGGAGAGGATTGTAGGATCAAACTGGCATGAAGCAGAATTTGTTCGAATTGGCATCCGCTCACGAACCAATCGCCAGTGATCTGCGGCTGGCACTGCCTGATGGAAAGGCCAAATGAGGAGCTGCGCCTCGCAAATCGAACACGTGCAGTGAAAAGTGACGGTTCCAACGCGTGATCCCCAAAAGGAGCAACACTCCCCACCACACTCATGTGAAGGCCTTATATGTCTACAGTTGTTCATCTATTTGTCTAACCACTTCGGTCGTCGCACCGCCTCGGAGGTCGCCGCCAGATACGTCGCACCTGGCGCCCGCCCGCCAGAAGGGTCGGTCGTGTCCATCTCGGAGGGTCGGTCCATCAAACGAAGAAGAGGGAGGGTTGGTCCATCAAGACCACAATCAGGATGAAGGTCCTGCCATCATCATCCCCTTTGTTGGTCCATGTTGGTGACAGTGAAACTCTGTCAGGGTGTGAAATCGATGGACAAGATCTTCATGTGGGTTGTTCCATCGGTGAAAGCCCTCATGGACGGTCTGTTTTGGTCTGTTTTCGACTTCAACCGTCGTCCAACCAACATGGCCAACTACTTGGGGCCGGGGGGGGCAATAGTATCTTCTACGGGTCCAAGACATCTCGAAAAACAGGGGCCACCATATGTAATATATATACTAGCTAGAAAAAAGATTATAGTTTTATACTGTAATACATGTAACTAATTATACACACCTATCTTATGCCACATCTTTTCGGGGCTACGCCGTCGCGCCGGAGATCGCGTCTCGGTCTCGGCCTGGCCCGTTGATGGCCACCAGGCCGTGGTGGCGGTCGTCGGTGTTCAGCAAAGGCTGCTCCTGACGTGCGTGGGGCGACGCTGCAGTCGTTGGATGCAGTGCATGATTTTCATGCAGGGTATCGTGGGGAGCGAACCAGGGGACCCTGGTTGATTCACGTGAGAAGTTCCTCCTCTGGAGCAGCACCTCCAACAAAACCTGTTTCACAACGTGTCCTGCAGCTGCAGGGGCCAAGCTTCACCTCCAGCTCATAGACGCACGACGTTTGTGGATTTTTCAGTTGTGTCAAGACATGTCAAGACATGTTTGTGGTGAACACATGTGGCAACTCTGAGGTGTTCGGTGAACATCCATGTGGGGGGGATGTAGGATGCAATCACGTGGTGCATTCAATGTGTGTTCTCGTTGATGAAGACCTTGGACCCTGGAGGGAACTCTCGGAATGTGGGACGTTTCAGGGTGTGAACTCGGTGAAGTGATGATGGAACTCTGGTGCTTCTGGATTGCTCTTGTAAGAACAACGGTCTCCAGCCTGTCATCAACTTGCTCCGGGCGACTTTTTGAGGTGATGGAGATTTCAGCAGTCCAGCGGAATTTCCTTCCCACCTTCATGGCTCGTGTTAAGCCATGGATCTCGCTTGGCGAGAAGAAAGTGAGTCAATGCTCATTACTACTCTTCAATCTACAAAAGAGTCATTTTAGAATCTCCATTGCTTCATCGCTTCAGCTGGACTGGAACTAGAGGCTTGCTTTGCCTGGGTCATCAATACCAAGACACCCGCGCTGCAGGCAGGAAGGTGTCCCCTATTCTACCGCAACGATGACCAGGCTGGCGCCACCAAGGGAAACTCAGAGTTCCGCTTCGCTTGAATGCAAGCTTCTCTAAGCTGAAGGCCATAGGGCAGTCGGCATTCCATCCGCAGGGCCTCTTTTTCCAAGGCAACATGAAGCTCCTGCAGGTTCCGAAAGCCAATCTGTCGAAAGCCCTTCTGCAGGCCCGAGAAGAAGTACATCAAGAAGGCCTTGACCTGGGCAACGATCAGAATTACTCAGAACCGGGAACCAACAAACTGTCACATTGACTGCAATGCAAGGATTCTTCCTAGCTATTGTCCTTCTTCTTGTGGAATTCCTTTTTGGTCTTTTTAGTGGTTTATTCATCATATAAGGGTTTTTATTCTTCTATGGTTTTGGCGGAACCGAACCATGTCCGAGCTCCTATCCCCCCCCCACCCGGGGGCATTCTTTCGTGTTCTCACCCGCGCCCACGCCCCAAGCGCGCCCCCACCGCGGCACCTGGCTTCGATGCGGCACCTGCATCGCCACGCTCCGCGGCACCGTCACCTGCCGCTCCCAGGCGCGGCTGGAGCCATAGCGGACGCCCGTGGCCGAGACCAGGCTGTGTGGGTGGTGCAACGGCGGCGCGGCGGTGCCGCCGGTGGGCGCCTCCGTGGCACCCGCCAAGGGTTCGCGCAGAATCACGCTGGAGGCACCTGGATGAAGGGGATGAAGGGATGGGATAGCGCGCGTACATTGGGAACCGCCAGGGTACTGCGAGGGGACACACAATTGGAAAGGCGGGATAAAGGGTAAAGGAAAAAGAGTGCCAAGAACCATGAACTGAGCTGTTAGATGAAAGATTCACTCATGACTTGAGGCATGATCCGAAATTCAACGGTTCTGACAGTTGTGCAAATCTTCGCTTTGGAACCATATGCACACCCAGCTGCACCCCACCGCCCGCCCACCGCCCGCCCCGCCTAGGCCCATGGCGACCAAGGCCTGTGCGCTACTTCGCACCCCAGCGGCACAGACCGGAAGAGCGAAGTTGCGGGTCACGTAGAAGGCCACCTCATAGACCATGGTCGCTTCCTTGGTTTTCCGACGACCGAGAGTGACGGACGTGACGTGACGGACGTCGTGGGACGTGCGATGTGGGTGGCCAGAGATTGTGCGTCGGGAGAGGTCGTTTTTGTTGTTCTTTTTCCCGGAAGTCGATGGTTGGGTCTTTAACAGGCCTAGGCCTATAGGTACTCTCTCTATACGACCGTGCGGCCGAAATGTACTGTGTTTCCCTGAAGGGCCTAAGGGGCACGTCAGCCAGCACAGTATCTGTGCACAACATAATAGCAAACCTCGCCCTGAAATGGGAGACCTCACAATGAAAAATCTCCTATGAACGTGAATCGAAGCAGAATAAGTTTGCAATCGAAGCAAAGAGTCTGACATTTCATCTTTCCAAAGCTAGCAAAACTCGTGACGCTGCGGATGTTTGAAGTGGTTCCATACTGCTTGAGTGTCTGTCCAAGTGATGCAAGATGCTGCATAAGCTTTAGTTGTGTATGTATGTACAATGCGTCAAACGGCAAAGCTTGTGGTAGGACAAAGAACGTTGCAAAAGTCATGCATTCATGCATACATTCCGAATTCCCCTTGTCAATTACCTGACATCTTCCTTCCAAAACTGTCCAATTCAACACCAAAATACTATCCCATCATTTCCCATCCAAATCTCCAAACATCTCTCCCCCTAAAACCCAAGACTAACACCAGCAGCACCTCCATCCACCTCCATCCACTCTTCTCTCTCCTGCCATCTCAGCTTCTCCTCGTCCCAAGGCCACCGCCTTGGGCGCCTCCACGTCGCCTCCCACGTCGCAGCCGGTGCCCGCCACCACGCCATCGGAGCCCGCCTGGACCAGGCGCTTGGCCTCGCGGACTGAGGCCGCTGGACCCGCCAGCAGCTCCACCGAGGGATACCTACGGAGCGACGCGGAGCGCCACGCGAAGGACACCGGAAGAGCGAGGTGAGGGGGATCGGTGACACTGGTGACGGGAGGGGCGTCAAATGAGATCTGAGAATCAGGGGGATGATGAGAGATGAGATGATGAGAGATGAGATGTGGGCCTTTGGGGGAGAACAGGAATAAACAGAAAAGTAAAGTCCGATGAATCCATTATCTTCGGAAATGTTCTGCTACGTAAAGGAAAGAAAGTCCATGTGCGAAAAAAAAAAAGAAACATAGCTGAGATACTTGACCTTCAGGCGCTGGATCAGCTCGAGCTGTGCATCCACACCATCTCCGAAGAGATAAAGTAAGTTGGCTCCAGCCTCCGCCAAGGCATTGGCGCGTGCTTCATCTGGTTGACCTTCCTTCGCAGGTACTGCTGCACCTACCAAGAGCTTACCTGATAGATCTCGCGACATCTCCGGGTAGTCGCGGACCTTTTTCAAATCACTGCGTGTGACCATCGAGACCAAACGATCTTGGGCATCCAGAATGAGCAGCTTTCCCACCTTCTCTCTCTTCAAAATATCGATGGCTTCAGCAAAAGCCAAGGGCTCTTTGGCCGTCACGATGTTCTCAGTCATCACGGTACATAAACATTCACTCCGATCTTCACATAGATCGGTATCACGAGCTGTCACGATTCCAACCAAACGACCTCCCAACCGGCCATCATGGGTAATAGGAACTGAGGATACTCCTTTGGTCTCCTAAACCCCGGGCCGTGTGGCTCGCTTCGCTGACCGGCGGTCGCGAAAAAGAACGAACACCCGAAGAAAAGACATATGAATCCATGTACGGAACCCATTTCTTCAACATGTCAGTGCGTGTTCAATAAGCATCTTGGAAGGGATAGAGGACACGTTGCTGCCATTCTAGCAATTGTACGCCGAGTTGGAACGTGACTTGCAAAGTGGACAAAGCATGCCGTGAACTTCATGATGTCAAACCATGTGTAAAATTATCTAAACATGTCTAGAGTCTAGAGTCTAACCTCAACCCATGACCCATCTACATGGTGGATGATGATTGAAAAGTCAAACATAATTCAATCAAGGTCCCTAGATTCAATGGTAAAAAAATCATACAGAATCCACCCTGGTCTCCTTTAGCTTGTCAAGATCTGCCAATGTCTGAGTCGGGCTCATCACGAAGGGCTCCAGAATGAATCCACTCACAAAGCGCTTCACCGCCTGTACCATATTCACCTAGCAGGTGGCTCAGCCAGTGGCTCGTGGACCAAACATGTCGTTCAAATATGAACAGTATAGTTGCATTCATCTCCTAAATGAGAACAGTACCCTGGAGCAAGAATATATTGCACATCATGTGACATTTGTTTTTGGCGAGGACGTCAGTTTGTGAGGCTTTTAGAATCATTGACCCATATCTTGACCCCGTGAAATCTTCGTCTTCGATCCCTCAATTCTTCTCACACACCTTCTCTCGATCATTGCGTCATGATTCTCTTCCGTCCGCCATCGCCTGGCTTTCCACACTTTGGTTGGCATGAATGATGCCCATAGCACCATGCAAGGCCAGCTCGATGGCCATCTTGGGTCCCGTGACCGTGTCCGAGGGGCTCCCCAGCACCGGGCATCGCAGCTTGAGGTTCTTCGTCACGTGCCCCGAGAGGTCCACCTCGGTCGCTGGAGAGAGGGCTGCTGGGGACCGGAATGGAGCGAGAAGAGCGAGGTGGTGTTTTTTTTTTTTGACTGGTTGGGGTGGTGGATGTGGTGGATGTGGATGGTGGATAGTGGTTGGCTTCATTTCAGGTGATTTCAGTGATGGTGTTTGTTTAACAGACTACCCTTTGCCCACCTCTGATGATTCGAAGTTGGGGAGTCCTGGCATGAAGACCAAGTCATCATAGGTGAAACTTTGCGTTGCAGCATCAAAGACCTTTCCAGCAGGCCAGCCATTGGAGGCGGGATCGGCCATGGCTGGCAAGCAGGGGCCGAAGCCGATGGCTTTTGAGCCAATGCACTGGTGAACATCCGCCTCAGCTGATTTCCACGTGACCTGTTTTTGGAAGGAGGTCAAGCTGCGTGCGTGTGTGTGTGTCACCCCCTGTATCTAAGGGTTCCACCTTTGTAACTAAG